CTCGTTCCTTCCTTCCTCCTTACTTCCATCCATCCTCCTCCCCCTTCTCCCTTCTCCCACCCTTGCCCCTGAAATTGCGCATGCCCTCGTCGTCGTCATCGCTAACATCATCAGCGTCATCATCATCATCATCATCGTCATCATCATCATCATCATCATCATCATCATCATCATCCTCATCAGCATCCTCATCATCATCCTCATCATCATCATCACCATCATCATCAACATCATCATCAGCATCATGCTCATCATAATCATCAGCAGCATTATCATCAGCACATCAGCATCATCATTACCGTCAGCATCAGCATCGCCCTCATCTTCATCATCATCATCATCATCATCATCATCATCATCATCATCATCATCATCATCATCGCCGGCGTCATCATCATCGCCATCATCTGCTGCACCATCGTCATCATAATAACCATCATCATCATAATAATCATCATTATCATCACAATCATGATCGTCATCATCATCGTCATCACCAAAGTCATCAACAACATCATTCTCATCAGCATTCCATTACCGTCAGCATTCCCAGCATACTCATCATCATCATCATCGTCATCATCATCATCATCGTCGCCGTCGCCATCATCAGCAGCATCGCCAACATCATCAGCACCACCACTGTCATCATCATCATCATCATCCTAATCATCATCATGATCAGCATCGTCAGCGTCATCGTCATAATAACCATCAGCATCACCATCATCATGTCATCATACTCTTCATCGTAAGCATTTCCATCCTCATCATCGTTAGCATCATGAGTACCAGTATCATCAGCAACAGCACCATCACACTCAGCATCACTATCATCATCATCATCCTCATCATCATCATCATCATCATCATCATCATCATCATCATCATCATCATCGTCATCATGATCACCAGCATCACCATCTCAATCATCAGCATCATCAATAGCAGCGTCATCATCATCATCATCATCGGCATCATCGTCCGCGCTTCGTGGCCCCATATGGAGCTCCACCTAAGGCCCCAGTGGCGGTGCCCACATGCGTCTCCACTACCCAGCACAGCGCTTCGTGGCCCCATATGCAACTCCACCGAAGGCCCCAGTAGAACCGTTCGCCTGCGTCTCCCCCACCCAGCAACGCACTTCGTGGCCCCATAGGGAGCTCCACCGAACGTTCCAGTGGAACTGTCTACATGCGTATCCCCCACCCAGTGGCGCTTCGTGGCCCCAGTGGGAGCTCTACCGAAGGCACCAGTGGCGGTGCCCACATGCGCCTCCACCCAGCACGGTGGTTCGTGGTCCCTTAAGGAGGTCCGCCTAAGGCGCCACTGGCGGTGTCCACTGGAGGCTTCAATGGCATCGTCCACATGCGCCTTCCCCATCCAGTTCGGCGCTTCGTGGTCCCATAGGGAGCTCCACCGAAGGCAGTGCCCACATGCGTGTCCTCCGCCCAGCACGGCGTTTCGTGGCCGCAGACGGAGCTCCACCGAAGGCCCCAGTGGAACCGTTCACGTGCGCCTCCCCCAACCAGCACGGCGTTCCCTGGCCCCATAGGGGGATCCACCTAAAGCCCGAATGGCGGTGCCCACATGCGTCTCTTCCACCCAGCACTGCGTTTCGTGGCCCAAGAGGGAGCTCAACCGAAGGCCCCAGCGGAACCGTTCACATGCGGCTCCCCCGCCCAGCACAGCGCTTCGTGCCTTCATAGGAAGCTCCACCGAATGTCCCCATGGACCCGTTCACATGCGTCTTCCTTCACAGTACATCGTTTCGTGGTCCCATAGGGAGCTCAACCGAAGGCCCCAGGAGCGGTATCCACATGCGTCCACCTACCCAGCACAGCGTTCCGCGGCCCCATAGGGAGGTCCACCTAAGGCTCCAGTGGCGGTGCCCACATGCGGTTACCCTTCCCAGCACAGCGTTTCGTGGCCCTATAGGGAGCTCCACCGAAGGTTCCAGGGGCGGTGTCCACATGCGTCTCCCCCACCCAGCACGGCGCCCCGTGGCCGCATAGGGAGATCTACCCAATGCCCCAGTGGCGATGTCCACATGCGTCTCCCCTTCCCAGTGCTGCGTTTCGTGGCCCCATTTGAGGCTCCACCTAAAGCCCCAGTGGTGGTGCCCACATGCGTTTCCTCCACCCAGCAGCGCTTCGTGGTCCCATAGGGGCTCTACCGAAGGCCCCAGTAGCGGTGCCCACATGCGCCTCCATCACTCAGCACGGCGTTTCGTGGCCCCATAGGGAGTTTCTCCTAAGGCCCCAGTGGCTGCACTCGCATGCGTCTCACCCGCCCAGTCTAGCGCTTCGTGGCCCCAAGGGGAGCTCCACAGGGCGCCCCAATGGACCCGTTCACATGCGTCTCCCCCCCAGTACAGCGCTTCGTGGCCCCATCTGGCGCTCCACTGGATCCACTGGAGGCTTCAATGGCGTCGTCCACATAAGTCTCCACCCGCCCAGTGCAGCGTTCCGTGGCCCCAGAGGGAGGTCCACCGAAGGCGCCAGCGGCGGTGTCCACATGCGTCTCACCCACCCAGCACGGCGTCTCGTGGCCCCATAGGGAGCTCCACCAAAGGCCCCAGTGGAACCGTTCACGTGCGTCTTCTCCACCCAGCACGGCGCATCGTTGCCTCATAGGGAGCTCCACCGAAGGCCCCAATTGACCCGATCACATGCGTCTTCCCCACAGAGTACAGCGTTTCGTGGCCCTTCGGGAGCTCCACCGAAGGCCCCAGTCGCAAAGTTCGCATGAGTCTCCTCCGCCCAGTACAGCGTTGCGTGGCCATTGGGAACTCCGCCGAAGACGATGCCCACAACTGCGGTATTCACAATTGCACATGTATGCGTCCTTCGCCAGGCGAGTTTTGAATGACTCGATGGGGGCCTGGGAAGATACTCACTTTGGGGGGGTCCGTGGAATTCCTGGAGCCGCTCATGCAGGGCGCTCCCCTGGTCCTCGGCGGATCGGAGGGTCGAGCCCCCCCCCCCCCCCCCAGCGGAGGCCAGCGGAGGCTCGGGGGAAACAAATCGTGCTCCTCCGACGTTGCCTTTTGTCGTGGCCGTCGGCACTTGGGGCTTCGACCACTCCCCCCTTGGGGCAGAAGTGCAGCCCTCGCCGATCTGATGCTGCCCTGTTGATCGCGGCGTCGCGACGCCCCCTACTTGGCGTCGACGCTCTCCCCGGAGCAAGAGCTAGGGCCCTGGAGCAGCGTCGGGGCTCAAGAGGCGGGGGGTCAGGTGCAAACGGGGGTCAGGCAGAGCATCGGATTCTGCAGGAGCCTGCAGAACCAGGGGTGCACTGACCGGGCTGGGGCGCAGGATCCTGCAGGATCTTGCAGGATCTTGCATGGCATGGCTGACCCGGGTCTGGATTGACCCGAATCAGTAGGTCCTTGACATCGAAAAACGGGCGTCACGATGCTCATGTCTGGGCCTCCCAGATTGGGTCGGAGCAAACGGGGTCGGGAGATCGCGCCGCAATGCCGATGCCTCGGCGATGCTGCTCGATGCCCTTCATGTCGACGTCACCGAAGCATCGACGATGCGTCAACGATGCGTCAGCGATGCGGCGCGATCTTCCGACCCCTCTAAGCGAGCCCTTTTTCCAGAGGCGTTTCCGACTGCGTCGGCTTGGGGTAATCCACGGGTAATCCTCCTTGTCCTCCTCTTTCTTTTCCTCCTCCTCCTCCTCCTCCTCCTCCTCCTCCTCCTCATCATCATCATCATCATCAACATCATCATCATCCTCATCCTTTTCTTCCTTTCCCTCCTCCTCCTTTTCCTCTTCCTTTTCCTCCTCCTCCTCCTCCTTCTCATCCCATGTCGGCGGCGCCAAAAAAAGGGTCCGACGGCGCCGACCTTCGCGCGCAGGCTGCCCGGGCAAGAGGCCGCGCGTCCGCGCCTGGGGGGCTCCCAATGTCGCGTGCCGCGCGGGCGGCCCGCGCACGCCGCGGCGCACGGTCGCTGTGCCGTCTCGCGCAGAACTCAGTATCGTCTAGCCGACACCCCATCCCGATCCCCATCCCCATCCCCTCCTCCTCCTCCTCCTCCTCCTCCTCCTCCTCCTCCTCCTCTGGGCGCGGGTCGCAAACACACACCCTTTGCAAACCACGCCCTTCGGAGTCGCCGAGCCAGTGCCGCCCGCCCTGTGTACCCCATCCCCCGAGCCCCACCGTCTCACCACCTCAGTTGGGGATATGCCCCTCGCAACCCGAAGGGAGCAGCCTACATCCCCATCTAGGGGGGCGAATCGGCCAGCGGGGTCCAGGCCACACTGGTGGGGAGAGGGATCGGTTAGACGATGCTCAAAACTCCTCTTTCTTCTCGTCGCTCCCTTGGGAGGCCTCTGCTGTGGGCGCCGCCCGGACCCTTAGGCATTCATGCACACCTACATACCTGGAGCAATTCATACAAAAGCATGTGCAATCACGAGCTGCAGTGGCAACGATGCTCGGCTCAAGTGTGATAGCAAAGTTCTGAAGTGTGATAAAGCAAACTTGAGTTTGTTCATGTAATCGCTTCGCTCATTCCGCCGGCCCTGGAGCGCTCTTTGGGGCCTCTTGGGGCTCCTTGGCGGCGTCTTGGGGCCCCTGGGGCCTCTTGGGAGGCTCTTGGGGGCCTCTTGGGGCGGGAGGGGGAGGTAGTCGATTGCGGCTCCCCCCATCGGAGGCCACGATCCTCGTGAGGGGAGTCGAAAATTGGCCCTCCCCTGGGGCGTTCTGGGGGGATCGCCCGGGAGTGGCCCGGGATTGGACTGGGACCTGGCTGGGGTACTTTTCGTACGGGGCCCCCAGGGACCGCCCCGCGCGCGCGAACTAGAAATTTTGTTAATTGGTTACCAGAGATCTTAGCATGCGTCTGGCCCGTTGGGCCGGCGAATTGCACTTCGTTCTCGCGAGGAGGTCGGCCTGGGCGTCGATCTTCGATCGCCTTGGATGCGCGCGCAGTCTTTCATGCCAGGCCATGGCCTCACCCGCCTCGCCCTTAAACGGACCCGGGCGCATGCCCGCACGGGCGTCCCGTCTCGTCCCGTCCCCCCGATCCTCGATCGCCCTGGATAGCCCTCGATAGCCCGTGGCCAACCCCGCCGCCCCCCCCCCCCCTCCCCTCCCCTTTGTCACATCACGATTCGCGCTGGCACCGCCTGGGAACGAGCCTTGCCTGGGCATTCCCAGACGGCGCTGACGCGAATCTTGACGTGACCAGCTCTCTCCCCTCCTCCCTCCCCCCCCGGTCACGCCCGTTATCGCAAGGGGGATAAAGCATGTGTCCATTCCTCGGGGACTGCTTCCTACTCCTGGGCCTTCCAAGCCCCGACCTCCAACGCATTGGAGAGCTCAACTCAGCACGGAGGCTTTCCAGCGTTTTCGGCCTCCAGGGGGCCTGTGGAGCCGCTGCGCCTGCCGTGGCTGTGGGCGGCGAGGGCCAGGAGGAGGCGGAGGAGGTAGTGGATGATGAGGTCGTGGCGGAGAGGGATGGGGGGGGGGAGGAGTTACGGAGGAAAACGTAATGGAGGAGGCGGAGACGAGGTGAAGGCGGAGGAGGAGGAGTAGTAGTAGTAGGAGGAGGAGGAGGAAGAGGAGACCTCTCTGGAGGGGGTGACAGAGGAGGAGGAGGAGGAGGAGGAGGAGGAGGAGGAGGAGGAGGAGATGGAGGAGGAGGAGCGCCTCCCTCCCCCTCCGCCGTGAGCCACGCGGGCGCCCAGGAGCGCAGCGACCGGCGCCGCGGCAGCGGAGACCTGGGTGGACGCCAGAGCGGCGAAGACAGCAACGACCTGGAGCCGGGTGGGGGGGGGGGAGCAGGTCACCACCCACCAAACAACACCAACCCAACCCGAAGGCCTCAATTTGCCCTCCATTTCCAGTTGGGGGGGGGTCGGGGAACATTGAAAAAACACATATGGAACCCGTGCCCCCCCCCCAACCCGAAATTGGGGTCTTCGGGTTGGGTTGGGGAAGCCTGGTAGGTAGTCAGCAGGCAGGGAGGGGCAGGGGAGGGGAGGGCGGACGGAGGAATCCCAGCAGAGGAGAGTCGAGCTACGCGTAAGGACGGAAGGACGCAGGACGGACGGAGGGACGGAGGGAATCTCAGCGGAGGAGAGGAGGGAAGGACGGACAGAGGGACGGACGGATGGACGGACGGACGGACGGAGAAGAGTCGACTACACGTAAGAGTGACCTTTCGCGCCAGAGTGACCCTCGGTGCAGGCCCAACCGGTTCCCCCGCTCGCCGAACACGGAGCGGCAGCAGCGTCTTGCGCCTTCGTGTTTGGCCCCCCCGTGGCCCCCCCAAAAAAGCCGCGCACCAAAGGTCACTCTTACCCAGGGTCTCTCTTGCGCGTAGCCGAGAGAGGAGGGAAGGACGGACGGAGACATCTCGCTTGCGTGCAGCTCACGAGGGACAACGTTCCAGTAGCCCACGACTTGCACACGCCATCGCTGAAATTCTGAACGGGGCAGCGTTCCAGCAGCCCGCGCCCCAGCATTGGATCTCGACCGAGCGTGAGCAATCCAGCAGCCCACGGTGTTTGCTCCAGTATTGCATCTTTGCCGTGCGCGATCGCTCCAGCAGCCCGCGAAGCTCGCTCCAGCACTGCACCTTCACCGAGCGCGTTCGCGCGTTCGACTCAACGCCGAATTTGTAGAAGGCGCAAGCGTTCCAGCAACCCGCTGCGTGCGATCGAGGCTCGCATTGTTACCAAATGCGGACGTTCGAACCTCGGCGTCAACTAGCGCAGACGAGCTCGTAGTCCAATATCACATCAGGTACACCGATTACTGGCAAAAGGGCGCGCGGCGACGGGGCTTTGACAGCCGTGGCCGTCCTGACATCGTCGCGATCTCAATGGTATCCCAACGTGTATTGGAACTTCGTGGAAGTGTGGACGCTGCAGGCCTCTCGGCAACGTTATGCCACCGGCGACGACGCGTGGGCCTGAACAGCATGCATCCGAACCGCACGGCTCGGGGCGTCCCGCTTTGCAGGGACGCGCCCCCTGCCTTGCGGCAGGAGCCCGCCAGTTTCGGCAGCCTGCCATCGTGAATCGAACATCGCGCAGCCACGGGCAGGGAGAGAGGGGAGGAGGGGAGAGAACGTGAGGAGAGGAGAGGAGGGGAGAGAGGAGAGGAGAGGAGCTGAGAGGAGAGGAGAGGAGGGGAGAGAGGAGAGGAGAGGAGAGGACAGGAGAGGAGGGGAGAGAGGAGAGGGGAGAGAGGAGAGGAGAGGAGAGGAGAGGAGGGGAGAGAGGAGGGGAGAGAACGTGATGCCAGAGCCCGCCCCGAGACTCCGAGCAGGGCCTTCGCAGCGACGCCGAGGGCACCTGCCGAGCCAGGGCCGTGGCTGCGCCCGTGCGGGCGGTGCCCGAGGCCGGCGTGCACGCCCCCCGCTGGCCGAGCCAGGAGGCTGCGCACGCCGATCCCGGCCCCAGGCTTGGCCCGTCCAGGCTCGGTGAGGTGGTGGGTTGGCGTCCCCCGGCCCTCCCGCTCCCGGCGCCCTTCCCTCCTCCTCCTCCTCCTCCTCCTCCTCCTCCTCCTCCTCCTCCTCCTCCTCCTCCTCCTCCTCCCCCTCCCTCCTCCTCCTCCTCCTCCTCCTCCTCCTCCTCCTCCTCCTCCTCCTCCTCCTCCTCCTCCTCCTCCTCCTCCTCCTCCTCCTTCCCATCCCTGCCCTTCCCTGGCACCGCTTGGGTGTGTGCATGTTGGTTTCGGCGAGTGCCCTTCGGGAAGCATCCTTGATCATCGACGAGGAAACAAAACACGCTCGAAATCAAAAAGTGCACCAGCAGTGGCGGGCTCGTCGGGCTCCCCCCGATCGCCGAGCGCGATGCGATATATAAGTGACCCGCGCCCTTGGGCTTGGCTCCCTCGCACCCCCCACAGCTGCGCACCAAGGGTCACTCTTACCCAGGGTCACTCTTGCGCGTAGCCGAGAGAGGAGGGAAGGACGGACGGAGGAATCTCACTTACGTGCAGTTCACGAGGGACAACGTTCCAGTAGCCCACGACCTGCACACTCCATCGCTGAAATTCTGAAAGGGGCAGCGTTCCAGCAGCCCACGTCGTGCGCTCCAGCATTGGATCCTCCCTCGGGGGCCCCCACACGTCGCCGCGCCGCCGGCTCCGACGCGCGGCCGTGCGCCTTCGGGGGGGGGGCGCCGCGGGCGCCAGGGCAGAATTCGCCTGGGGCGTGGTGGCTCTGCCGCGGCCCTGCCGCGGCTCTGCCGCGTCGCCTCCTCGGGCGCGGGGCGCAGGGGGTGCCGTGGGCTCGCCGCGGCGTCGACGCCGTCCACCGGGGCGCGTCGAGGACAGACGGCGCGGCGGCACCTGGCGTGGTGGCCACACCGTGTGGTGAACCAGTGGGGACTCGGGGCCGCCGCGCAGTCTGGGGACTCGAGCGATTCTCCGAGGGCGTCTCGGCCGCCTGGGGCCTCCGGGCCCCCGAGGCTCGGCGGCGAGCCCGGGTTTGGCCTGCAGAGGGGGCGGGCCTCCCCAGCAGGCTCGGAAGGCCTCCGGCCTTCGGGGAGTTGTCTTCGGGCCTTCTCCGAGGACGGAGGCGGCCTCTCGGAAGGCCGGAGGCCCCGCGAGGAGCTCCGCCGCCTTCCTGGCAGGCCTGCCCCCTCTCGCTCCCCCCGCGGGCGCGCCGCCGGAGGACCGTGCGGCGACGGGCTGCGCGATGCGGTCTCCCGGGATTTCGAGGTCACCGCGCGGTCCGTCACCACACGGTCTCGGCACCCCCGCTCCGCTCCTCCGCAGCCGCGCTGGTTCCGAGCCGCTCCCTCGGCTCGGGAGGCCGGCGCCTCCGCGCACGGCGCGCCGCGGTGCGCCGCGGCGCGCGCGGCCCAGCCCTGGGCTCGACCTGGGCGGCGATCGGGCGATCTCGTGGGCCGTGCTCGTTTCGGCCTCATCTTTGAGCATCCACATGCGGTTCCCCCACCCAGCACAGCGCTTCGTGGCCCCATAGGGAGCTCCACCGAAGGGCGGTGTCCGCATGCGGTTCCCCCACCCATCACAGCGTTGCGTGGCCCCATAGGGAGCTCCACCGAAGGCCCCGGTGGCGGTGCCCGCTTGCGGCTCCCCCACCCAGCACAGCGATTCGTGGCCCCAAAGGGAGCTCCACCGAAGGCCTCTTTGTGGCGGTATCCGCTGGCGTCGTTGTCGTCGTCGTCGTCATCATCATAATCATAATCATCATCATCATCATCATCATCATCATCATCATCATCATCATCATCATCATCATCATCATCATCATCATCATCATCATTCATCATTATCATTATCATCATCATCATCATCACCACCATCATCATCACCATCATCATCAGCAGCATCAGCATCAGCATCAGCATCAGCATCAGCATCAGCATCATCATCATCAGCATCACCATCACCATCACCATCACCATCACCATCGTCAGCATCATCAGCAGCAGCATCATCATCGTCATCATCAGCATGAGAATCATCATCACCACCACCAGCATCATCAGCATCATCAGCATCAGCATCAGCAGCATCATCGTCATCATCATCAGCAGCAGCGTCGTGATCGGCATCACCATCACCATCACCATCGTCAGCATCAGCAACGTCATCATCATCACCAATCATCACCATCATCATCAGCATTAGCATCATCAACAGTATCATCATCAGCATCAGCATCATCAGCATGAGCATCTTCATCATCATCTTCAATATCACCATCATCATCATCATCATCATCACCAGCATCATCATCATCATCATGATCATCATTTTCACCATCATCATCATCACCACCATCATCATCATCGTCATCATCATCATTATTATCATCATCATCACCATCATCATCACCATCATCATCAGCAGCAGCATCATCATCAGCATCAGCATCAGCATCAGCATCAGCATCAGCATCAGCATCAGCATCATCATCATCATCATCATCATCATCATCATCATCATCATCATCATCATCATCATCATCATCATCATCATCATCATCCGCGCTTCGTGGCCCTATAAGGAGGTCGACCTAAGACCCCAGTGGCGGTGTCCACATGCGTCTCCCCCACCTATCACAGCGTTGCGTGGCCCCGCAGGGAGGTCCACCTAAGGTCCCAGTGGCGGTGCCCACATGCGTCTCCCCCACCCAGAAGGGCTCTTCGTGGCCCCATATGGAGGTCCACAGAAGGCCCCAGTGGCGGTATTCACATGCGCTTCCCCCGCCCAGTGCAGCGCCTCGTGGCCCCATGGGGAACTCCACCGAAGGCCCCAGTGGCTGTGCCCACATGCGTCTCCCCCGCCCAGCACTGCGGTTCGTGGACCCATCGCGAGGTCAGCTCCAGCGACGCTCCCAGCGGCGGTGTCCACATCCGTCTCCCCGACCCGGCACGACGCTTCGTGGCCCCGCAGGGGTTTCCACCTAAGGCCCCAGCGGCATTGTCCAAATGCGTTTTCCCCCACCCATCACGGCGTTTCGTGGCCCCAGAGGGAGCCCCATTGAACGCTCCAGTGGCGGTGTCCACTTGCGTCCCCCCTCGCCCAGCACAGCTTTCCGAGGCCCCATACGGATCTTCGCCGAAGGCCCCGGTGGCGGGGCCCACATGCGTCTCCCCCACCCAGCACAGCGCTTCGTGGCCCCAGTGGGAGCTCCGCAGAAGGCCCCAGTGGCGGTATTTACATGCGCTTCCCCCGCCCAGTGCAGCGCCTCGTGGCCCCATGAGGAGCTCCACCGGAGGCCCCAGTGGCGGTGCTCACATGCGTGTCCCCCGCCCAGCACGGCGCTTCGTTGCCCCATCGGGAGCTCCTTTTCAGGCTTCAGTGGTGGTATTCACATGCGTCTTCCCCACCCAGCACAGCGCTTGGTGGCCCCACAGAGAGAGCTCCACCGAAGGCCTCAGTGGCGGTGTACACGTGCGTCTCCCCCACTCAGCAAGGCTTTTCGTGGCCCATACGGAGCTCCACCGAAGGACCCAGTGGCGGTGTCCACATGCCCAGTAGTCCCATAGCGAGCTCCACCGACGGCCCCAGTGGCGATGCAAACATGCGTGTCCCCAGCCCAGCACAGCGTTTCGTGGCCCCGTAGAGAGCTCCCCCCGAGGCCCCAGTGTCTGCACTTGCATGCGTCTCCCCCGCCCAGTACAACGCTTCGTGGCCCCATAGGGAGCTCCACTGGAGGCTGCAATTGCATCGTCCACATGCGCCCACCCCACCCAGTACAGCACTTCGTGGTCCCATAGTGAGCTCCACCGAAGGCCCCGGTACGTGGCTGGCACAGTCCACATGCGTTTCCCCCACCAAGCACAGGGTGGCGTGACCCGGATTTCCACCGAAGGCCCCAGTGGAACCGTCCACATACGTTTCCCCCGCCCAGCACGGCGCTTCGTAGCCCCGTAGGGAGCTCCACCCGAGGTCCCATTGGACCCGTTCACACGCGTTTCACTCACCTTGTACAGCGCTTCGTGGCTCCATTGTGAGCTTCACCGAAAGCCCCAGAAGCAAAGTCCACACGCGTTGCCCCCACCCAGCACAAAGTTCCGTGATTCCACAAGGATCTCCACCGGAGGCCCCACTGGAACCGTTCACATGCGTAACCCCCACCAAGCATGCCCTTCCTTCGTGGCCCCGTAGCGAGGCCCACCTAAGCCCCCAGTGGCGGTGTCCACTTGCGTCCCCCCCACACCAGCACGGCGTTTCGTGGCCCAGTGGGAGCTCCACCGAAGGCCCCAATGGCAAAGCTCGCATGCGTCTCCCCCGCCCAGTGCAGCGTCTCTTGGCCCCGTGGGGAGCTCCACCGAAGACGATACCCACAACTGCGGTACTCACAACTGCATCTCGTTGGGTCCTTGGCCAGGCCAGTTTTTGAGATGCTGCATTTTTCGCTACGTCGTATATCTCAGGGAAGGGACAACGATCAGAGCCCCGAATCATCAGGGGTAACTCGGGTCAGGGTTAACTCGGGTTCCTTTTTCGGGAATCCGAACCCGACTTACCCCGGACCCGAGTTACCCCGGATAATTCGGGCGTCCAGAGCCCCACATCATCAGGGGTAACCCGGGTCAGGGCTAACTCGGGTTTCTTTCTCGGGAATCCAGACCCGAGTTACCCCAGACCCGAGTCACCCCGGATAACTCGGGCGCCCAAAACGAGACCCCCGACGTCATGATTTTTTCATTACGTCGACCCCTGGAGCTCTCGACCCCTTCCCCGGGACCGGTTTTTCATCCTGAGTCGTTTTTTGACGGTCCCGAGACCCGGTGAGGACCTCCAGAGGGCGAAAATAGCGAAAAACCTCCCGTCGTGTTTTTTTCACGACGCGAGGGGGTCTGGGAAGGCAGCACGAAGATGGCACCGACACGGTCCAGGTCGATCCCTGTCCGAGCCCGAGGCCATGGCCGGCAGGCGCCCAGGGGCCCCGAGGCCGAGGGCCCCGGGGAGCGCCCGCCGCCCAGCGCTCTGCCTCGCGCTGGCCCTGGCCCTGGGCGCGGGCGTGAGCCTCCAGGGCGCCCCGTGGCGGCGCAGGCAGCCCTTCGGTCACTCCTGCGGGCCCTGCCCCTGCGGGTCCGATGGGCGACGACGACGGACGACGACGACGACGACGACGACGACGACGACGACGACGACGACGACGACGACGACGGACGACGACGACGACGACGACGACGACGACGACGACGAGGACGAGGACGAGGACGAGGACGACGATGGGGACGGCAACGACAACAGCGACGACGACGACGACGACGACGGCGACGACGGCGACGGCGGCGACGGCGACGGCGGCGGTGGCGGCGGTGACGACGACAATGGACCTAGACCCCGTGACGTGGTCCACGGCGTCGGCCTCCAGCCTCGTTCACCCCCACAGGGGGGTTGCCTCGTTGCAACAGCGGTCGGGAGACAAGAGTTCGACGCCCCGGGCCTTTGGCCCATTCAGTGCTTGAAAGGAACGGGTCCTAGTGGATGTTGGAAGAGTTAGCGAATACACGACGCCGGTTTCGGTGGGCGGCTGGGTTCTTGGCTCAGGGTTCCCAGGTTCCCGCTCTCTGGGTCCGGACCGATTTCGTTGGGAGCCCAGGTTCTGGGGTTCTTTGTTCCTGGTCCGGACGTTCCAGCGTCGTAAGCTTCCCAGCTCTTCGAGCTCTTGCCTGCGGCCAAGAACCCAGGTCGTCGCGACCACGGCCAGACAGGTATAATGCGTAGCACCCCGCACATGCGGATAAGAGTGAGGGGGCGGTGGGGACGTCGTCAGTTTGCGAGACTCTGGAGAAGCCCGCCGCAGGCGCCGACTTTTTCCTCAAACCACTGTGGATCGGTCTCGCGGGTGGGTCGCGGGTCACGCGACGCTTCTCGGACATCCACGGATTGGGGTTCCTTCGGGCGAAGAGAACTATGCACATGCACCGATCCTGGCAAGGCCCATCCTTGACCCAGGATCGGTGCATGTGCCTTCCTGGCCAAGGTAGGAGGGCGTATGCACCGATCCTGGGCTCAGGATGGGCCTGGCCAGAATCGGCGTAATTATGTTTATAGTTCTTTTTCCTCTAGTTCCTCTCTGCTGCAACGCTTTCCCTCAGAAACCTGGCCTGCGGGGGGCAGCGTTCACGCGTGGCCGCCCAGGCAGCCCCGCGGCGGCGCGGCCTCGCCGCAGCTCTTCGCCTCGCCCGGCAGAGGCGCCGCCGCGGTGGCGCGCCGGGGCTCCTGGCCCAGCCCGAGGGAGGAAAGGCAGCGCGAGCAGGGGCTTCTCGGAGGTCCGCGCGGAGCTCTGGGGGGTCGACTCTGGGAGCCCCGGACAAGCGTGATAAAGCAGCACGTGTCGTAAACAACACGTGTGATAAACGGCAAGTGTGATTCCAAAAGCAAGTCCCGTTTTTGTTGTATCACACTTGTTTTTATCACACGTGCCTTTTTATCACACTTGTTTTTTAAACACACTTGTCCGGCGCCTCCGGCGCCGCCCCTGGCGCGCAGCGCGCCAAGGAGGGGGGCGCCCACTGCCGACCCAAGAGATCCGACCGGACCTCCGAAAGTTTCGGTTTGCGCCGTTTTTTCTTCTTCCACCAGCGGCGGCCCCGGCAGGAGCGCCCGACAGCGCCCGCGGGGCCCGCGGGCGAGGAGGCGAGCTCTGGACGGCTCGCAGCAGATAGAGGTCCTGTACGACGGGCTGTGCCGGGTCTGCCTCACGAACAAGGCCGTCCTGGAGTCCAGTGACGACAGGGGGGTCCTCCGGTGCAGCGGGCTGGCGCCGTGGCCGCCGGCCATCCTGAGAGTTGTTCAATGTGACGGTCCTTGTCTGGGCTTCTCTCGGGGAGGGCTTCTCTGGGGCCTCTCTTGTGCCTGGCCTCCTGGGGCCTCTAGGGTTTCTATTGGAGCCTATTCGGCCGCCTTGCTGCCTCGCTTGGGCCCCATCTGGCCGTGTATGGGCCGTCAATGCTCGGCCTCAGTTTGGGCGCTTCCAGTCTACTTTGTTGGGCCATCTAGGGGGCCTCCTGGAGACATCTTGGGTCGTCTAGAGGGCCTCATGTGGCTCTCATGGACGGTCTTGGGGCCCATGACCTCGAGCGTTTTCCCGAAGCAACCTTACGTCCAAAAGCATGCCCTTGGGACTGCCCCCCTGGCCAAAAACGACCGCTGCCTTCTCTTCGGACTTCTTGAGATCTCTTGAGGCCTCTCGTGTCTGGTTGTGTGTTGGGGGTCTCCTGGCCGTTGATGGATTGTCTCGATGGCAGCTCGGGCCGTCCTGACGGGCCTCCTGGATCGCCCGTTCGCAATCGCTGGGCTACGTCGGGGGAACACTTGCCCTGAGATCCTCCCCTGATGTCCCCACCGCTAACGAGCCCGTCACTTCCGCCTCACAGGAGCAGTTCGGGGGTCCCCGTGGAGGAGACGCGCGGGAGCAACACCAATCTCACAGCCTCGGGGCTTTACGTTCAAGCCACAAGCTTCGGGCTGGGGTTTGAGGCTTACGGCTTTGGGCACAAGGCTTGGGGCCCCAGAGGGGCCAGCGAATTCGTGAACATAGCCGATGACGACTACGAGGCCGACGAGCACTCCGGCGTGGAGTACGAGGACGCCATGAACGAGCTCCACGTCATCCTGCCGGACGGCGCCGTCGTGCGCGGCACCGATGCTGTTTTCAAGGCTTACGAGGCCGTTGGCCTGGACTGGGCCGTCGGCATCTTGGGCTCCCCCCTGCTGCGGGCCGTCACCGACGCAGTCTACAGGTTCCTGTCCGACAACCGGGAGGCAATCAGCCAGTGGCTCCCCGGCGGCGAGGAGCTTCGGGAGCGCATCCTCGGGCGATGCCAAGGGGTGCCACCACCCTTGGGGGCGGGCCGCCCCCTCCTCGAGGACGGCCCCCGGAGCGCAACAGGCACCCCCGGAGTCCTCTGCAGGCCTCCTCGAGGGCCAGTCCTCAGGAGGAGGTGCCGACCCCCAAGAGTGGTGCACGCTGCTCATTTCTGAGTATTCGAAAGTTCTTTGATGTTTTGGGGGACCAAGATCCTTTCACTTCTAATTGTTCTATCCTGTGCCTCTTCCTGGCCACTAGGGGGCCAGGAACAACTAGAAACGAGCACAATTAGTTAGAAATGAGCATGATTAGAAATGAACGACGTGTACCCCCCGTGGCATTGCCTGAGCATCCGCAGTGCGCGATTCCTCCAGAAGGGAGTGGCAGAGGGCGAGGCCGGAAAAGAAAAAGCCGCTGGAACATGAGCTTGCGGAGGACCGCGCAGATTCTTTGGATCAGCGCCGGGGCTACCTGGGTGGCGCTTCCAGCGCCCCCCCCCCTGGCGCGCTCCGCGCTCCAGTGAGGGGGGCCAGCGCCGATCCAAGGAATCGGCGCGGGCCTCCAAAAGTTTCTGCCTGTTCTCTTCTTCCCCCGCGAGGGCTGCAACGACGAGGCTGGGGACGACGAGGAGGACGACGACTGCGTCGTCACGGAGGACAAGCTGTGAGCGGCCGTCGGCCAGCGGTTTGCGCCCGAGGATCTGGGGCGGAGGAGGCTTGTAAGGCTCCGGGTTGCGCACAGGCGCCCCCCCGAGGTACAGTCGGGGCCCTGACGAAGGAACCCTTTTTTGTTGGGGAGGGGCTCCGTGTTTCTTAGTTGCTCTACAGTGCTCCTTGGGTTTTCGGGAGGTTTTCCATGGAAAATCGGAGTTTACTATGTATTCGGCAACACCCAAACATACTTATACTACATGTGCGTCGCCCCCCAGGGGCGACGCGCGCACCGAGCAATCTTATAGTATATGCGTCGTGGCGGGCGCTTCCTGGCCACACCGCTCGGGAAACGATATACTACAAGATGGGTATACTATATATTCGGGTCGGACGCGCGCCTCCAAGGAGGACATACAGTACTATTATGTCCATGTGCGTCCCATATATGGGAAAAGGGGCCCCGTTCCTTATTCGGGGTTCCTTAGGTCAACGCCCCGACTGTAGCCCCGGGGGGATCTCAACGCCGCCGCCGGGGCGCGGAGCGCCCCAGGGACGCGCCGCCGGGGGCGGCGCCCGGGTTTTTTTGCAAGACCGCCCCGGGCGACTCGGAGGGGGCCTGCGCAGGCCGGCCAGGGCTGCCTGGGGGGCCTGCCTTCAGGAGTCTGCACGCCCGACATGGGTACCGAAAGAATGGGTAAGATGCCCAACAGCAGTTCCTGTTCATTTTGAACAGGACTCGCTGTCCGCGCCGCCGCGGCCTGTGCCCATTCGAGACTGAAGGCCGCCTGCCAAACAGCGGCCGCTGTTGGTTCGGGACAGCATTTGTTGTTGGGCATGTTGCCCATTCTTTCGGTACCCATTTCGGGTGTCCAAATGGGGGGCCTGCCTTCAGGAGGGAAAGGAACACACAGACACAATTGAATCGTCGATTCCCAGGAAAAGATGGGAGACTATGGGGGGTGAGGGGAAAGACAGAAACCCAGAACATATGAGAAGCCATGGGGGATCCTTGCATTTGTGTGTCTTTATTTGTGTGCCCCAGGGCCCCTTCATGTCTGCGCGCAACCCGAAGCCTGATCAGGAAGACGGTCATCGGGTCGGGCGGATGGGGTTGGGAGAGATGGGGATATCATTACCCGCAGGCGGTCGAAGGCATTGTGCACTGCATCCGAATGCAGTATTTCTCATACCCTTCAGCCTTAGGGGAACGACGAATGACATAAACATAAAAACTCTGAGGTCCGCGCGAATTTCTTGGATCCGCGCTGGACCCCCCTGGCGGCGCCTCCGGCGCCGCCGCTGGCGCGCTCCGCGCGCCAGGGAGGGGGGACCAGCGCGGATCCAAGAAATCCGCACGGACCTCCGAGTTGTGATGTTTGTGTCATTCGTCGTTCCCCTACTCATTCTCCATGCATGCATGTTTTGCGCTTCCCGTAGCCGCCGAGGCTCGGAACTAGTAGGGACACTTCTCCCATGAACCAGAGCCCAGCATTGTTGCAAACATCGCGCGCCCACAACTTGAGAGCCCCCTCGGCTTCATCGTCCCTCCCAGCACGAGAGCTGCTCTCCTCACGCGAGTGCCTCCCCGCGGCGGCGCGGGGGGGTGGCGCCCGGCCCGGAGCGGCCGCGCTCCGCCCCGCCGCGGGGCGCGGCGGCGCCAGCGGGGCAGGCCCTCAGAGGGCCTTCGGGGGTGCCGCCTTCGCGGCTCCTTTCGATGTCTCCGATTTGGTTCGATTCGATCTCGGCGGCTTCCGATTCCGAGTCGGTTCGACTTTGGATTCCGATTCGGGCTCCAGTTTCTCGATGGAGGCCTACTGGGCTGCCGACTTCCGCCGAGTCGACTTTTCGCGACTCGGCTGCCGATCTCCGCCGATCCCACTGCAAGTTACCTTGGAGCGTGAATCCTGAGCAATTTCCGATGGATCGTTGCCTTGGGAGCACGAATCCATTATGATTTTCGATGAGCCGTGGCCTTGAGAGCGCGACTCCCGCGTAATTTACGAGGGATCGCGGCCCTGGGAGCGCGGACGCCGCGTGATTTACGGTGGATCGTTGTCTTGGGAGCGCAGACGCAGCGTTCCTTGGGACGTCCCCTGGCACGTCCGCTGGCACGTTCCGTAGCGCGTCCCCCTGGCACGTTCTGTGGCGCGTCCCGTGGCGCGTCCCCCTGGCACATCGCGCGGCGAGGTTCTTGGCACGTCCCCTGGCACGGGCACTGGCACGTTCCGTGGAGCGTCCCCTGGCATGTCATCGTGCGGCGCGGCACAGCGCAGAGAAGCATAACACAGCCCTTGGCAGAGTAGCATCACCATTGGTACCTGGAACGTTCCCTGGCGCCTCCCCAGGGCACGTCGCGCGGCGCGTCCCCTGGCGCGTCCACTGGCACGTCCCCTGGCACGTCCGCTGGCACGTTCCGTAGCGCGTCCTCGTTGCACGTTCTGTGGCGCGTCCTGTGGCGCGTCCCCCTGGCACATCGCGCGGTGCGTTGGCACGTCACCTGGCACGTCCACTGGCACGTTCCGTGGAGCGTCGCTTGGCACGCCACTGTGCGGCATGGCACAGCGCGGAGCAGTACACCACAGCCCCTGGCACGGCGTCAGCATCATTGATAGTTTCAGCATTGCCACTGCCCATCGCCCAATTGAGGTGCGTGGAAACGTTCCCATTCCTCGCAGTTCGAAATCCCTTTCTGGGTTCGTGGGTCGATCGTGTTTTACGTCGGTCGGATTTCAGGGAAGTCCCTCTCAGATAGGGGGTGCCTCCTGGGGGAGGTGGTCTGCCTCCTGGGGGAGGTGGCGATTCCCGTTTGTTGTGACCCCCCGTGGCATAACTTGGAGCCCACCCCCTCATCCGCATCTGTCACCCTCCCTCGGCAGTTCTCTTCGCACAGAGAAGCACCCGCTGGCACGGGACTCCCCGACGGAAGTACGTAAGTCCTCCTCTTCCTATTTCCGCAAACGCAAGTCATCCGTATTCGCCCTCCGCCCGCCTCATGATTCCCTCCTCCGCCTTCTTCGTTCCTCTTCCGTCTCCTGGTGTCCCCCTCCTCCCCCATCCCCCTCTCCATCCGTCTTCTCCTCCGCCCTTCCCCATCTCCTCCTGGCACCCCCTCTGTATTCACCTGGCTTACCCTCTATTCTCCTTTCTAAAAAGAGAACAGACTCTACCCCCCCGGACTTAACGCTTCCCCTTGGGATTGTATAATTTCATATATATATATATGTGTATATATATATATATATATATATATATATATATATATATTCTGCACACTCGTGAAATCATACCATCCCAGGCAGGCCGGTTTCCCCCCCCTGAGGTTCCCTGGTAAAAAAACACTATGCGGTGACATGTTTGTTCTAACATAGCACTTTTTCACGAATCCCTTGTAAAAAATGGGACGAAGTGCACACGCGCGAGTCGTCGCGCGCGCATGCCGAAATCCTTCAAAAACCATTGGTTCCGGAGAGATTTCAAAATTGAATTTCCAAAAAACATACAAAAACACATGGCTTCGCAACACTGATTTGCTAAAAAAGCTTGCGCGCGAGCTCTTGCGAAATCTTAAGAAAACCATGTTTTTTCCAAGATTTTCACAAAATGCTACCAAACGGGCTTCGCGCGCGCATGTCGAAATCTGTCGAACGCCCTTGCGCGTGTGCCGTCGCGAGAATCCTCTGCAAAAAATGGGACGAAGTGCAGACGCGCGCGTCGTCGCGGGCGTATGCCGAAATCCTTCAAAAACCTTCGGTTTCGGAAGGATTTCGAAATCGTGCGTCCAAAAAACATACAAAACACAAGGTTTCGCAACACGGGTTTTCAACAAAAGTGTGCGCGCGCGCTCTTGCGTCGTCGTCGTCGTCCTCCCTCCTCCCTCGTCGTCGTCGTCGTCGCCGTCGTCGTCTTCTGTCTGTCCTCGTCGTCGTCGTCGTCGTCGTCTTGGCGTCGTCGTCGCTTCCGTCGTCGTTGTCGCCGTGGTCGTCCTTCCTCCCTCGTTGTCTTCGTCGGCGTCTCGTCGTTGTCCCTCCTATTTCGTCGCCGTCGTCGTCGTCGTCGTCGTCGTCGTGGTCTTCAC